AAATATAAATCATAATTTCAATAGAGTGGAGAGGAAGAGATTTGTTATCAGTAGAACAGTTGTTATTGCCCATTCTTGAATAAAAGCAAAATGCATGCCTTAGTCGCCTGCGCATACATAGCAAATAAAGAATTAACTTGAATCGAAATGTTCAACGACGATTGACCGTAATCGTAAAAGGTTGGGTTCATTGAAACGCAATGAATGGTGAATGCACAAGCGAAGGAAATTCAAATACCAAAGCAAATGGAAAAAAAATCTGATTTACGATCTGTTTACGAATTTTTAAATTTGAAAACGCCAGCAAAATTTTCCCAGATACTGCAGCACAATAATTTCAATTCTTACTTGCAGTACAGCAAAAGTATTTTTGAATTGTGGAAAACTAAATTTTTAAAAATTATATACGTTTGTCAAATCCTGCATTGTAATATTAATGTTCACGCTGCCGCTGAGCAGGATTGTCTGACCGGGACTCAAGAGTTACTTTCGGCACTGCTACTTTTGTCTGAGGCACAGAAATTTATAATTAGCCATTGCCGAAACTTTCAAATCTTTTCTATCTAATTAGGGTTCACGGTTTCACCACTGTTTGACATCACTTAGAATAGAAGTTGGTTGCTTCTTGACGAAAAAAAAACTAATAAAGCATATTGGTTCCATTTTCCCAATCCTGAAGCAGTTACTTAGTTTATCGCTACACGCCTAAAGTGTACTAAAATTTACTGTAAATGAATCAATAATTCGTGAGATCGCCTGCAACGTTTTGAAAGTTACTTTTACACACTATAAATATGGGCCAGGGTATCACGGATACTTACAGTTGATGTAAGTTAGGCGCGATGTACCTACTCGGATCTCTGAAGTTCTTCAAATGAAGTAACTGATTAGTCGATCGACTTTAAAATCGCAAATTCACACTAAACCTAGAATATGAACTCTTTCATAGTCACTTGATTCAGTTCCAGAAAAATTTTTTGATTACCGTTTACACTTAGCCACTAAAAATGACACCGGCAGTCCAGGACCAAAGATTTCATTCACGCTAGTATGAGCATCACCGCTGACAACCACCCTCGTGCACACTTGCAACTAAACTGAGCTCACAGTAGACCAAGTTGACCAACAGCAACAAACACTAGTACAGTATATCTATTACTAACTAAAAGGAGTGGCCGCGAGCACAGAAGCAGCCGCGTCCACAATTTGTTGTTACATGGGATTTAACACGCAAATTTGAAGTTCTTAAATTTACCCACAAGTTTTGCACTATTAATTAACAAATTTTAATATATTATTTAATTGAATTATTTATAGTAAGCGAGTCGAGTAGTCATTTGCTTTCTTTATAAATATTTAAATATTTGCTTTCTTCTGAATAAGCGAGTAGTCATTTGCTTTCTTTATAAAGTCTAATATGGTGGTGGAGAGGGTGTGGAAAGTCTATTTTCCTTCGTAAGGAGGATATTAGTTACGGATGGCAGAATTTATTCCTTTCAGCAAGTTTCATTGAAGACTAGAGAAAATTTATTTTTTTTATTGAAAATTTCAATTTGATTTGCACTTTCCTTTTTTTAAATTAATCTTCTAAGAAGACAATATGTGATTAAAGAAAGCTGCTATAACCATATAAATCCTCTTATTTACCTTTACGTTAGTATCAAATTGGCATTTTATATTCATAAAAAGAATCATATGTTAGTATTTCTTATTTTATCTATATCCGCGGTATATGGTGAACTGTGTTTATGAATTTAGACTATATTCCTTAACACATTAAATATACGAGTAGAATTCAAGTTCTTGGTTTGACATTTAAATATGCGTATAGGACTTTTACTCACAACCAAATAATTACTAAATTAAGTCATCTTGGTATCTTAACAGGCAACAATTTTTTGTGAATTTATTATTTCTTTTCTTTTAACGTGAGTAGTAATCGTGTCCTGTGTGTTGTTTAATAATTATTACTAAATTATTCAGTAGGAAATTTTCAAACGTCTTTGGTATATAATAAACCTGGGCTGCCGGATATGCATTGGATTTACTGCCGTTTCATCACTACGCAGTCTTTTTGAAATAACGCTGAACACATTCAAATATTTTCATGTAAGATAATTTCTTACATATCTAATAATGCTTACATTACGGTAGGAAATGCAATTTTTTGCTGTCGTGCACACTTACTGGAAAAATCGCGTCTATAACTTAACTTGGAGCGTCGATTCTTGGCTCCAGTCGTCAATTTTTGTAAGATTCTCTGCTGTGCCAACCTGTCAGGTTCAACTTGCATGGCCTTGCAACGAGCCCGAGGCTCGGGACGAAGCCGGTACAGGCTACGTTGAATTCGTGTTTGAAAGTATGTACGTATAGGCGATTATGAAATATGAAAAACGTAACACGCACCTTTTGCTATGTTTCATTCGAGGCAACAAAAGAGTAACGGAATATTTTAGTATCTTATACCAGTCTCTTTATCTTTACTGCGCGGGTTGCCACGTTTAGGCATTCTTGACGCGAGCCCTAACGATATAGGAACACACTTTCATCTCGTGTCAGCTAGAGTACCGAAGACATGGCTATTGTCTACTACATATCATACTATTATATTGAACATAACGTTCTTCAAATGTATAAGCTATTTTGTGGGAAGGTTATACAGCCTCGAACTTAGTCAACGTGATGAGGTAAACCGTTTTCATTGGTTGTCGAACTTAGTCTTTAATTTATTTGGAACTATGATCGATAAGCAGTTATAACATTGTGATCACAACATCAAATACTTAGTTTGTATAGTTCTTCGTTCATGCAAACTTGCCGAAAGGGAAACACAGTTAAAACTACGAGATGGAAACTATGGACTATGTAAAACATGAGGAACTGATACAATTGGGTTAGGAATTGTAGATGAAGTCCCAAAGATAAGTAGCATGCTAGCTGCAGCTGACACTAGCCGTAGGCTTGCAACCTGTTTGGCAGGTTCCTCGAAAAATAAAAATAATAATGGCACGACTACGAAGTACTCCGAGTGCCTGGTGCCTCGGGGAAAGTTGGAAGTGTTTTCAGCCATGACTGAGCCTCGTTTTATAGGCTGCAGATTTGTGAAACTTTAAATACTTCATTGAATATCAGGTGCATGGAAGTTCCCTTCAATGTGATCGTACCCTATTCAAATTTCAGGAATGTAGCGGCTCGTGAGTCTGAACTTTGAGTTCACAGGCATTTTGTGATCAAAAATGTAGGAATCGACGAATGCTGCGTGAGAAATTATTTAACACATAAATGGTTCCTACATTTCGCATAAATGGTCACTATTTTGCATAAATGCTTACTATCTCGCATTTAAATGGGTTCCATTTTATGTTTATACGATTTATAATATTGCACTTAAGTGGATATTATTGGTACAATTATTTACATAAATAATTACTATTTTGCACATTAATAGTCATTTGAACGAAAGGATGAGTCGCATTTGTTAACTTGTACTACTGGACTCATTAAACAGGTACTACCGTAGAGAACTCACTTGACTAGTACTAGTGGACTCACTCAACTAACACTAGTGGACTCACTTGCCTAGTACTAGTTGACTCACTCAACTAGTACTAGCGAACTCACTCAACTAGTACTAATGGATTCTCTAAACTAGTACTAGCAAAGTCACTCAACTAGTTCTAGAGAACTCACTCAACTTGTACTAGTGGACTCACTGAACTAGTACTATTGGACTCTCAACTTGTACTAATGGACTCACTCATTTAGTACTAGTAGACTGAATAATCCATTCAGTCTCTTATTCATTATCTTACAAAACATCGAACGCATTGAGAAACTGAAAATAAATGTTACTATTTTTATTCACGCAAATAATACAGTGAACATACAGCAGTTTGAACTGTATATGTAATTAATTCAAATTTAAAGCTCTCTTAACTTCTACATCCGTTTTGCTGAAAAACCGCGGCAGGAGCTCTCGTTCGAGTCTTCCTCTCGCAAATCCGTCTCACTCTGTTGTGCGCCTTCACGCTACTAAACAGTTCAACGTGAACATGGTTGAATTATATATTAGTTCAACCATGAATGTGACTGTGTGAGGGAGCGATTTCAAGATACTTAGTTTCTTCTGTAATGTACTTCGTTTAAGTCGGTGTTTTGCAATGATGGGGACGAACCTCACAGATGATCCTCGAAGACGAGGCAAGTGTGTCGCAAAGAGCGAAAAAACTTATCCAATGATTTGGATAAGTCAGGATAAACCTGGAAAGTCTACGAGGAGGATTTAACATATGCTCCGACTTAGTCAGAGCATATGTTGAATCACTCAACTAGTGTTAAATAACTCAACTAGTACTAGTACTAGTACCTACCTTCAGCATGACAGGCCACAGCACTGTAAGTTGATGAGGTCGGACTGTGGGGCCTTGTATTACACGTACCAAACACAGGAGGGCACGCCAGTCTAGAATGAACATAACCCATGGGCCATGGCTGGTAATTATATTCGTGACTGCGTCGTACGTGTGACAGCTGCCTTGCAATGTTGACTTCATTTGTAATGTTTACTTCATAATCATTTGACACGACAGTAGCAGGAAGAAGTCGCTCACTATTCACGGGCTGCAAAATGCAAGAAAGTGAATCGAGATTTCATTCAGGGGCATTCTCGAACAAATTTATCTTCAATACCTTATTAAAAATTAGACTGTGGAGGCTTATGACAGGTAGAGCTTCAAGGATTTAAAAAAAATCCTTCATGAGTCAGCTCCATTTCCGGCAGGAAAAGAAAGATTCCAGAAACCGATGTGTCCAGTGCCGAAAACTTTCATACAAGTATTATAATTGAATCCATATCCAGTGGCTAGCGTTGAAAGAAGGTATTCCTAACACATCATATCGGTATTATTGCAGATTAACTACATCCAAAAAAAAGGGTGTTTTTTTTTTAATTATATGTTTTTTGGGGTGTAGATTACGAATCTGAAATCCATTTATTGAGCCGTGAGGGACATGGGGGACAACCCCACATCCTCAATAAACAAATAAACAACAACATTATTATGACTGCGCGCAAGAAGGGCTAGAGACAGTTGAGCGCTTAGCTACGTGGTTAGAGGCAGTCGAAAAAAATCTGCCTCTTGCATGTAATTTGGATATTGATTTCTAAGTTTATTGAAAAATGGCATTCAAATCGGACCTATTCGGTATTCCATTGAAACGAGCTTCTGACGTTGACGTTTTGAAACCATTGAAAAATTTGATAATATCACGTTATCAGTCGACCGAACAAGAGAGTTTCATAAATGCTGTCAACGAATTTGCCAAACTTAGAAGCAATGCAGTTGGTAAAAAACTGGATTACCATGAAAATTCTCTAGAATTGCTATACAGGTGAGTGTTACTTACTGATATTCAGTTAATCAACTTATCCTCTTTATAGTCTTATCATATAAATGATATACCTAATCATCATAAATCATGAGTTGAAGCCCATCTCAATTATTGTCCTATCACTCCTAATCCTATGATTAGGCTATTTGAAATGCTGCAGAGACAATCTTAGGCAAACATTATAAATGATTTAATGAGTTTTGAAATTTTCTCACTTCTGAGTTCTGGCAGACAGTGACAGCCTGACAGGCTAGCCTAACACAAAGTGACAGGCCTAAAATAAAATACATCATAAAGATTAAGGAATAGCTAACATTTTTATTAACTTAGCTACCCTGAGGCTGACATTGAAGTTTAGAAATAACTCAAACTATCACAATAATAAATTTACCAACCACTTAGGGCAAACGCGGTATATTCCGACACATTAAGGATGCATCGAGAAATGAAAAACTATAAAAAAATAACCGTATGCATTACTCAAGTTCTGTTTGCTTTATGTGACTCGCAAAACAACACCGTACTATGGGCCAGCAACAATGAAACGTCACAAAATGTTGCCATATTTATTTAAAAGCCTTTAGAATGCAAACCTACCAAATCCCTATATTCCGACACTCCACTGTGCAGAGAGTGGATTAATATTGCAAGATCTTTGGCGACGCTTCAGTAGCAAAATTAATGCCTTCAGTAGATCTTGCCGACACATTTAGACTGAAATTCTTTCATTTAATATGTTTGTCAGTCATTGGCCAACTATTTAAAAAAAAGTAAGGTTTCCAGTATGTTGGATTGATCAGTATGCAGTGAAGTTTGTCCGGAAATCAGTTGCGATGAGTTCCCACCAAAAAAATGTAAACATCAAGTTTACGATTATGTAGTTGCGGTCACATTAGAGTGGTCAGACTGCATTATCACATGTTCAGTTGACACTTGCTGTACAATCAGACGGTTTTTAGGGTAAAATTAGTTATTTGGGGTAACATGTGCATGCAACCTTGTAAATAAGTTTGTGGCTTGTAAATAGTTTTTCATTACGGTACTCAGCGTAAATGGCTTTTCATTAAAAATTACCCGGCGACGCATCTTAAAATTACCCGGCGACGCTTAGGGCTTAAAAACCCATATATTGGCGATGCTGCAGCCACCCTCTGCACCATGGCCGACACTGTATGTGGCAATATTTGGCACGTGGTGAGGCGTATTCCGTCCGCGCTTCAAATTCTACTGATCATAGTGGCAAAGCAGAGAGTTTTTTAGACTCTTCCTCAAGTTCATTTTGAGTCCTAAATGTAGACCAGTAAAGTATCCTGGATACCTGCATTATTATACATAATAAATTGGTTTAAATTGTGAGTAAATGAGGAAGTAAAAAATGAACTGTTTCTAAAAAATCTGTGATTTGTCACTATGCTACTGATACGTAATGCCGTCATCCACGTGTTTGAAATCCGTTCGCTGTGTGAGCTGTATTGGAATACAACACCGCTTTGAATTAGAACACTAATGAATATTGAACACTACTTAATTACGCTTTTAATTAACAACCATTAAGCTTTTAACCAAGAAAATTTTAATTTTTGTACATAGCTTGGAACGATCTGTGTGTGTCCAATTCAAGTTGTGACGGAATTAGTTTTCATGTATCTAAATAAATTTCTCAACTTAATCATCTATTAACTTATTTACCACTTGAAATCAGCGAATACAAGTATACTTAGAGGATTCCTAATATATTCACAGATGTATTTAAAAGTCTCAAACCATAATATTCTTCCTATACAAACAGTTATTCACTATTTGGTAGAGCAAGGTCAACTGTCAAATTTGACACATTTTTCGATGATCTCACTGGGTAGCGTGCATTGTCTCTCTTTGGATCTCAATATTTTCCCACTAGATGGCCAAGACCTAGTGTTTTGGCAGTAGTTCGACGCGCAAATGTATGACGTCACCATTTCAACCATCAATGAATGCATGGAACTAAAACAGCTTAATATAAAGGAAAAACTAGAGATGCGACAGAATTACCCACGATGTCGGAATATACCACGTTTACCCTATTATTTAGCTACTTTATAGTTATTCTCAAGAAGTTTTAAAAGTCTATTTATGCTAACAAATAAATATCCATTAACAAACCTATCATTTGTTTTCATGCCTGTATTGAGTTAGATAAAACAACGGAATACCTAAACAAATTTCATATTTGGACCAATGACATGCTTTTCTAGAAAATTGATCCTTAGTAAAGTTTGCACTAGTGGCATTTAGAGACTTTAATGTTTTTGTATACAGAAATATGACTGCTTATCTAATCTTATATTCTTATAATTAGGCCTATTTATTTTTATGAAATAAATTAGTCAAAGACATCATTTAGACATGAAAAAAATATGGAATTGATGCACATGTGAGCAAAATAGTGTTTTTGTCTTGTGCGTGGCCATGGGTAGCCTCTGCCCAATTTTCCAGTGTTGACTATTTGCGTCAAATCTCCAGAAGCATGGATTGAACATCTGTTTCCTGCTCCCAATATGTTTCAAAATCAGATTCAGTTTGAAATTAGCTTTTCCTGTTTAATCTTTGAAAAGTTTGTACTTCATTACAGAATATGGAGAGGATGAAAATTTTCCTACTTGTGAATAAAATTTTGCGGCTTTAAAATGACAAATTTTTCATACATTTTTGATTTTATAGCCCTATTGTACACTTTCTTAGGAATTAGATAGGAGGCAATTCATCTAGCAGGAATCTTGTGGCTTCAAAGATGGCAGGAAAGTTCTATTTGCAGCTGGAAAGGCATATTCCATGCCAGGTTAAGAGTGCTGGCTATTCAGGGGTAGTTCTTAGTTAAGCAGTGATCTTGCATTTGCAAAAGTTTGGCACCTGCCAATTTATTTACTGTATTCTTGAAATGATTTTTCAATTTTATCTACAATCTCTAGAATAATCATGATTATCTTGTATGTTATTTATCAGTATACCATATAAATATTTTTTGAAAATGCATCAAGATTTCTGATGGTTAATACATATATTAGTGAGTGCATTCATGTGGAGTGAAATTGAAATCTGTATTCATAAATGTTTTGGAGCAACCCATGTTATTTAAATATAATTTAGACCTGTTGATAACTTGATAGTTTTACAAAATTGTTGCTCTAAATGTGGATATTAGATAGGTCATATTCCATAGTTTTGACTCTATTCAGATTTAAATATTGTTAAATTTCTTCTATTTTATCAGATACTATGACCAGCTTGTGGCCTTGGAGGGCAAAATACCTGCTGCAGAAATTCAAATCCCTTTCAAGTGGAAAGATGCCTTTGAAAAGGGGTCCATTTTTGGCAGCAGGACCAGCAAAAGTGAGCAATAATAGTTTTTTTTATTGCTAGATGACCAGTTTAAGTGTAACTCAGTCAGAGGTAAATAGGCAATAGGTATCAATGATAATTTATTGTTGATTATTATAGTATTGGTACCATGAATTATTGCTGAAATAATGTGTTCATTAGATGCAACCTTCCATTGGAAGTTTATTCTGACACTATGGTTTCTTCCAATGTTCAGTAAAAAAAAGGTGGTATTTTGATCTATTACCTCTGAATAAGTTGAATGCCAAACATGTTTCTAGAAAAAAATTTTGATATTTGGAACAAAATGTTGCTAATTAAATTATTCTTTCATCCAGCTGTGCCTTCTTTGAGCTATGAGAAAGCTTGTGTGATGTTCAACATTGCTGCTCTTCAGAGCCAAGTTGCTGCTGTTCAAAGCCCAGATTCTGATGATGGACTGAAGCTGGCTGCCAAACTACTTCAGGTTGCCTAAGATTTAGTTCATGTATATTTGAAATTTGATTTAAAATTAAGCTTTCATTGACACACTCGTAATTTCCAAAAATTTTGCTTTAGTTTTGGGATTGGTTTTATAGCTACAAGGGAAATCTGTACTCTTACATTAAATGGTGTTCAAGGGATTCTTGTTGGTATTTATGGTCCTACTTCTGTGCAGCAATCTTCTGGTGCGTTTAACAACCTAAAGGGCTGGGTGCTATCAGCTGTAGGCTCTGAACCAACTGCTGATTTACAACCAGACACGCTCACTGCCCTGTCAGCCTTCATGCTGGCACAAGCACAAGAAGTTTGTGTTAGCAAAGCTATCAAAGGTAAGCTCAACCTTACACATGATGACCTTTTGCTTTTTCCTTTGTACATGGCATTAGCAACTAATTGAAATGTAAAGATAAAAACAAGTGTTTTCTCATTAATAGGTACCTAGTGTAGTTTGCTAGCATGACCTCCACAATGGTTGTGGCCCATGAATGTAGTTATGTGTTTGTGCTAAATGCTGAGGATATTCCACTCGTCTAGATTTTTCTTTAAATAAATTTGTTCCACATTCTGTTTCTAGAATATCTCCACCAAATGATTAGAATTTGATAATAGTTAGTGTATGATGAACACTTGAATTTTCAAATTAATGTCCATATCAATTTGTGCTTGTTGGAGCATCTTATTGTTACCACTCACTATTATGTTGTAAATGATTTTTACTTCAATGGATACCATTGAGAAGGACACAATTCTTGTTTTTTGATCATGTGGCATTTGCACAATGCAATAGCAACACCACTTGTTCTGCAGATGCTCCTTAATTCAACAAGTTGAAGACTCAGTGTTTCAGTCCAACTATTTTCTGTTAACTAGCATTTAGGTTCACAACCAAAGTCCCCAATAACACATCAACGACCTATTCTTGAATCAGTTCATAAACTTTGGTCATATGTAAAATGTCTAAATTTGATATGTGGTGGCCAGCTCAAACCAAGATCACGGACATTTGTGAAATATTTGACTGGGCAAATATGAGTATGTATATGAGGTCTAAACTCATCTAGGAAAGGAAACCAAATGTGGCTCTGCAACCGTTTCTTTCTCCTGTACTTTCATCTGACTTTTGTCTCAGTAATGCCTTTTTTGTTTCTTTCTGTTTACAGTTCTGATACTTTGAACCACTTATTGGATGTTACTGGCTGATCACTATGTGGTTGCTGCCAGTAATTAATTCAAGTATTTAAAATTATTCCTCCAACTTAACTTATTTATGCTTTATTTTATGTTACTACAAGAATTCAATAATTACTATTTTTAATACAAGACCTTAATCCTGGCATGTTTTGTCCACCTCAGAACGGATGAAGTCTGCCGTCATTGCGAAGCTGTGCATGCAGTGTGAGGAACTCTATGGTGAAGCCAGCAAGCAAATGGGCCGTGAAATTCTAAAACCACTCTGGGACCGTGACTGGATTGCTAGAGTTGCTGGCAAGCAGCTTGCTTTCAACGCCCTTGCTCAGTTCTACCAAAGTCGGGTAAGGCAAAAATAATGTAAGCATTTCTGCATAAGTTCCGTTCACTCACCACTTCTGTGCAACACTGTCCACTCAAAGCTCTATCTTTTAATGTCAATATCCATTCGAACTATTCATGTGAAAGGCAATGTAAAATTGAACTATTTCTGTTTGAGTTAAATCCCTGTCTAACTATTTCCATGCAAGTCCTAACTCACTTGGATTAATTCTGCACAAGTCTCTCTGCTGATGCTATTTCTGTGTAATCCCACAAACATTTATAGACAGAAATGAAGTTGAAAGACATGTTGCAAAACTCAACTTATCAGCTTTCAAAAGATAAATTTTGGTATTGAATAGGTACTACTTATCTTCAGTAGGTAATGAATCTTATGAGAGAATTATCATTATGTTCTGAATTTATATACAGCCTTGAATTGACTCAATATAGTCAAATGGGGTAAGACAGGATCGCAGCCTTCATGGGTTAAGAAAGGACCGGCCCATTGCATGCATTCTAATTGTACTGAATTTAATTTGACAAAAGAATATGTTAGAGCAATCATTGCCTGTCATTTCAGTGTTTGTTTCAACCCTCTTCTGCAAATAATTAATTTTTGGTTAATTTTCAAAGAAAACCTATGTAGAGAAGGGTCACAAACACAGGGTCACACTCACAGCTTATCACACTCACAGCTTAGGGTCACACTCACAGCTTATTTGGGAAATAAGCTGTGTCTGGTTACAAAAAATTTTTTGGCCACGTTTGTGGATGTAGGCAGGTAACCTCAAGTAACAAGCAACTTTTGAGACATACTAGGCATTCCTACCTGCTATCATCACTGCCTGACAACTATTCTAAAATGGGGTAAAAAAGGACCGGACATGGGGTAAGACAGGACCACTAAATATTTTTAATCTGTACAGAAAACTGTGTTGTATGCAACAAGTCTGAGTTGTAGCTTTGAAGCCCATTGCATAACCACACCTTATGATAAGTTTAGGATTTTTTAGTTATTCATGGTATAGATGCTACATGCCTGTTAGTGATTTCGGTCCTGTCTTACCCCATCTGACTATATATAGACTTTGTTTATGGTATTCATATATTCTTTATTTCATTTAATTAATGATTGACTGGTTTAGTTGTATTGATTTGACTTGCTTTAAAATGAAATGCAGCATAGTATATTGGGGCAAGCAATTAGGGCCTTATATGACTATGTTTTCTTAAATCTTTTCACTAAATTTTTTATCACTCCTTTGTTGTCATTGAAAATCAGATATGAATTAGAACAAAATAAGTAGCCTTCTTTGAATTGTAATTTGTATGGCCCTCATCTGAAATATTTATCATTGTATTAATGATAGTTTCGATGTGATGCTGCGGGTTTGCAGACGCAGGACAAAATTACTACCATTCTTTATATTTAAATTTGTCTGGTCTTAGTTTTGTTATTAATTTATTTGGTTATCTGGTTATTAATTTAATTGGATGATTCCCTAATAATTTCAATGTGACACTGCAGGTTTGCAACGAAGAGAAGTCAGTGGACGAGGAGATCTCGCGCCTCCGCCACGCACTTGAGCTCTTCAAGTCTGCCGAGACTCGCTCGGGCAATGCAGGGCAAGTTGTTGACCAGATCGCCAGGGCCCAGAGTTTGATGGACGAAGCCGTGAAATACAACGATTTCATTTACCATGAACGCGTGCCTGAGGTTAGTGCAATTGGGGATTATCTAGACCAGTGGTTCCCAAAGTGGGCGATATCGCCCTCTTAGGGGCGGTGGAAAGATTTTGGGGGGCGGTAAGGAAGAAGAGAGCGGTAGGGGGGCGATAGTCCGAAGTCAATGTCAGAAGTTCGAACGGTTGTTTGACGATTTGTAAACAACACATGCAGCACATGACTCCCAGCGATGGTTTTGTCACCCAGATCTGTTTTCTTAACCTCTCCTGGGTTTACGTCTCAGACAAATTAACGGTCGGACTCGCGGCTGGTCTCACGGCCAATTTCCAAATTCAATGATCAAGGAATATCTCTCAAACTAATGAACTTAACTCGATGAAACTTAGTACACGTATTCATTAGGACCTAACGATAATGTTTAGCTCGTGAAAATTGTTTGAATTTTGCCATCGTTTGTTTTTGCCATAGTTATGTGGCAATACGGGCTGAAATTCACTGTGATCAAGTACCTATAATTTCTTCTTAACTACTGAACAGATTCGAACGAAATTTTGAATTTGCAGTCCTAACTACCGAACGGTACGGTAATGTTTAGCTTGTGAAAATTTTTTCGATTGTGCCTTCGTTCGTGATTTTTTTTTTCATTTCACCTTCATTCGTGATTTAAACATCTATATTTAAATTCGCAGTAATCAAGAAATTTTTTCCTAACTGCTGAACAGATTTGAACGAAACTTAGTATTTAAATACCTAACCTCAGCAACGGTGATGTTTAGCTCGTTACAATTTTTTCGTTTTGCCTTCGTTTGCGAGTTATACGGCTATACGTTAAGGGGACCGACTACCCAAAAATTTTCAATTTTGGCGTTTTAAATTACCTAAAAATTTAATGATAATTTTTTTTTGAATTTCTGTCTGGTTCGTTTTTTATATGGGGGAGAAGGGGGGGGGAGGGGGGAAAATGAGAAAAATGGGATAAAACGCGCATAAAAAAAAACTAAGGGGAAAATGAGAAAACTATTCATCAAATTTTTAGGTATGGTCCTTACAAACCGAATGATACGTGTCTCGATGTTGTTGGATGATATTTGTAGGAGGAGATAGATTTTCTAAAGTACCCCTTTTTAGCCGTTTTCTATGAATTTCACGTTTTCTATCAATTTTTTCGAAAAATTCATGGAAGCAAAATGTTATTTTTTCTACATTTTACGTATGTATTTGAAGTTTCATGATGATCGGATAATAACTGTAGAAGTTTTTCCGGAGGGTAGTCGGTCCCCTTAAACCGGCCGGTAGAAAGCAAAATAAAGAAATTGTCACGAGCTAAACATCGCCGTTGAAAGGTTAGGTAATTATATACAAAGTATCGTTGAAATTTGTTCTGTAGTTTAGAAGAAATTTCTTGATCGCCGCGAATTTAATAAAAGGAAAAAAATCGGCGACAGGCCACATCAGGCCTACACTTCAGCGCCGAGATCACTATGTTATGTTAATTTAAGTGACAAATTACCCGGCGATACGGGCCGAATATAAGGAAGTGTGAAATCAAGAATGACTGTAAAATGAAATAAAAATCGCAAACGAAGTAAAATCGAAAAAATTTTATAAGCTAAAAAATCACCGTTAGGTAGTTAGGAATGCATGTATATTCAAAATTTCGTTCAAATCTGTTCAATAGTTTGGAAGAAATTCTTTGATCACTGCGAATTTCGGCCTGTTTCGCAATATACGCGTAACTCACGAATGAAGGCGAAATATAAAAAAAAAGTTACGAACTAAACATCACCGTTAGGTTTTGATGAATACATGATCCAAGTTTCATAGAGCTGCGTTCATTAGTTTGGGAGATATTACTTGATAATCGAATTTGGAGATTGGTTGTGAGACCGACCACGAGTTCGGCCGTAAATTCGCCCGAGACTTTCTAGCTAGGTTTCTAGTGCCGAAACAATTAAAACAGCTGAAAAACATATTGGTTCACTAAATGGGGTTCTATTTATGGAATACACATTTTTGTTTAATCTTTCTCTTTCAAAATTGCAGCGTACTAAATTTCAAGAAAGAGGCGTTCGTATGTGGTGGGGCGCTAGAAATTCATTTGGGAGCCAAAGAGGGCGCCAGCCTGAAAAAGTTTGGGAACCATTGATCTAGACGGAAAAGGCTGTGCTAATAATAATCATTTGAATACACGTTGACCCCTAAGAACACATAGCTGCCAGCCGAAGGACACGTAGCGGCAGATTTCTTGTCTGTTACTTGGTGGGTTTAGCTTGCAAAGCAGTCAGTGATTGCTGACAGAGTTATGAACTCGTGTACCTATATTTTATAGTCCAGCCCCGGTTCAGGAAAGGTCAACTTTATCCATCATAAACGTATTCTTAAAATCATTTGCAAGATGATTTGCATGTAATGCATTTCACAATGTTTCTGGGACATATGGTGAACGCAACACTGAGGATGTACCTACGTCTGTTATGTAATTGTATTTTTTGTGTTTTTTTTTTATCAATCAACCATGGAAGTTTCTGAAGCTTCTCTAGATAGAATATGCAGGAATTTCTAGGTGAAAAATTCGTTTACAGAGCTAATGTGTTCAGGCAAATTTTTGAAATAAATGCTTTATAACTTATTAAATATTTTTTCCTTGGCAGGTTAGGAACTTGTCAGCCATTGAAAAGGCTGCATTGGCGAAGGTTTTGCCGGTGCCTGAGCGCTTCTCCACCAACTTCACAGACCTTTTCGAGAGCCTCGTGCCAGTGCAGGTACGGTGCCTGGGGCTACAATCTACAAACTTTATGAGCTCTTCCGCTCCCTGTCATGTTTACTGCTCCATTGATCGCACAATTTTCCTAGGAATGGCATTGCAATTGCAAGGATAGAGATATTTGGGGTTTCAAGTGTCATTGAGTCGTATTTTATTAGCAGCCCAGAACTATGTAAAATGCTTAAAGTTTAATTAATTTCAATTTGTTTTTACTGACGGCATTCACTTTTGTATTATCCTCTTTTGCTTCTGTCTCCCATCTTCTTTCTGTTTTGTTTGTTCAATCAACCCTATTTCCGACTGTTTCTGAAGTTAAATTGCTTGAATTGGTTGGAGCCTAGGACATAAGTCGTGTATATGGACATGAGTCATGCATATTAACATGTTGAAAAGCATTCACAAAATAATCATGAAGCTAAGATCAAATAATGCACAACTAGCTAATTGTCAGGTGTATAAATGAATTGTATCCATATCCCTTCAAAGATGCTGTACTAACACTGTGTATTTGTATGAGAGTTGAGCGCTCACATTGCAATAAGATTGCATTCGCATTTCTTTGGCTTAGTATTTTGGATGGGTTGTATTCAGGTGCAACAAGCGCTCTCCCAGTGCGACGTGCGGCGACAGGACATTGTCAACAAGGAAGTCAGCAAACTGAAGGGGGCAACGCAGCTCTTGAACAGTGTCTTGGCGAGCCTCAACCTCCCGGCCGCTGTCGAAGAGACGGCGGCTGGAGAGCAGCTGCCGCCCAGCCTTAGAGAGAAGAGTGCAGCCGTCGTCGAGAAAGGAGGGCTCGAGGTAAGTTCATGAAACTTGCTGCGCGGTCTATTATTGCAGTTACTTGTGACATAAATGTCTTTTTCCTCTCGACCCTGTCCAAGTGCTGAAAAATAAATGTAGTCTGTGCATTTTGGCAACGTTCTTGCTTCACCCATCGATATTAAATACTTACCATTCTGCTATTGTCAAAGTACCGCAACTTCACTTCAGTTCCGCAAGTCAAAGAACTGTGAAACTTCAATCGTGATTTCCTGCTGCAGTAGCTGCTGTAAATGTCATGCAAAATTCTTTTCCGAGATGTTTAAATCACTTCCATAAAAATTTCAAATTTAAAAACGAATGAGATTTCATAGATGCAAGTAAACTCGTAATATTGCCTTAGTGTTACGAATGGTTAGCTTCTTTTGATCATGCTTGAACATGTTTGGAACTTCTAAAAACATTGTTGATATAAGCAGCTTGGAGTCACTTGAGAATATTTATATTGTGAAGGATTTTTCCTGGGCACTTTACTCAAGTTATTTTCTCAGTCTTTGGAACGCATCATGAAAGAGCTGCCCGAGCTTCTGCAGCGTAACACCGAGCTGCTTGACGAATGTGAGCGACAACTCAAGGAAGAAGCTGACTCAGACTCACAACTCAGAGAACAGTTTAAGGAGAAATGGACTCGAACTCCATCAGCAACTCTGACAGCAACGTTCCAGGCAAACGCTGCCAAGTACCGCAAGGTTATAGAGACGGCCGTTGCTGCTGACTCTACTGTGCGGGGAAAGCTGGATGCTAACAGGTTAGCACATGCTTTCTATAGAGTGGGATTTAAAATGCCTCATTTAGAGTTTTCAGAATCACTACAGAATTCGGAATTAGTTGTAAAGAATTTCGTCCTGAGCCTTCAATATTGTGCTGACGCTTAGTTGGGGAAATAAATGAAAGGCCAAAGTTTATGTTACCCGGTATTTGATTGTCAGTCTCATGTTTGAGGTTTCATGAATTTTCTTCAGTTGGGGTTAATTTTAAAAATATTATTTTAAAGAACGTTTGCTAAAAACAGCTGCTCTTGTAAGAGCTGTCATTATACTATGTTTTCTATCACTACTTTCTGATATCAAGTTTAGCATACATTTTTTAAACTTTCTTCAATACGAGAAGATTGAACGTTAATATTGAACTAAAATGTATCAACAAACAGGGAAGGCATGGAGATGCTGTCACGTGGTCCAGAGTCTCTAGCCAGCTCGCTGCCCTCGCCATCGTCAGGAGGTGCATCAGGCGACTCCCCCCCTGTGGTGACGCTGCGTAAGCTCATGGAGGAGGTGGAGGCCATCAAGGCGGAGCGCGAGGTGATAGAAAATGAGCTCAAGTGCGCCACTGTTAACATCAGTGAAGTGTTCCTTGCGGCCCTGGCTGCTGATGGCGCCATTAACGAGCCTGCCCTCAGCACCGAGAAGTTAGGCGAGGTGTTCAGGGACATGCAGAGGCAGGTCAGCGACAGTCTAACTCGCCAGGAGCGGCTTATTGTCAACATCCAGGAGAGTCATGAGGAGTTTATGGCTAAGAGCGGCCGAGCTGGAGGAGAACGGGAGAGGCTTTTGAAAATGGTGGCAGCGAGGTACGATGTCTTCATGGAGCTCACTGACAACCTCAGAGAGGGAACTAAATTCTACAACGATCTCACGCAGCTCCTGGTTAAATTCCAAGTAAGTCATGTATCGTGCATCACTCTTTAAATCAGGTATCTTCAGTTTTTGTTTTCCAGAGCAATGTGTTGAGAATTGGGCGGGAAAGTTGTTGTTGAAATTTTGTAGTCTGTTTATGATGCTATCAATATCTGTAAAAATTGCACTATATCACTTAAGTCTTAACATCTTCAACAAAAACTTGACTCTTGTAGACTAGGTACGTATCAGCTGTGTTCACATAACTTTAGTTAACGAGAAACTTCTATATTCTGTTTATTTAATCCTACACCTGGACAAGTTTTATGCGAATAGTTTTAGGTTTACTTCCCAATTAAGTTAATTGTTCAATGATACACAGCATATCGTATATCAAGCATTTTCGCAACCACCCCGGTTGAGTATACCAGATTTCCATGAAGTAGCTCGTTTTCTTCATTTTAGTTTTATTCCATTGGTTTTTTCTCATGCTCAATGAGAATGGAAATTCATCCTAAACTATCATATCCCGTTCCTTATTAAGTACTTGATAAAGGCAAATTTTTGCAGAGTAAGATCACCGACTACTGTTTCGCTCGACGCACGGAGAAGGAGGAGCTGCTCAAGGATCTCACCTCAGGCCTCGCCTCTGCCAACACAGGACCGACGCCCCAGGCCCCCGCCCACCACGCCACCGCTGCTGCCAAGGTCTGTCCGCATTAGGCAATTTTGTTTTACGTGGAGAAAACCCTGTTTTGATATTCCTATTGTGTCGCATCTTTTTTATCTTATATTTTCTGACAAGAATACTTTCCCTTTAGCCTCATAGCCTGATGTTCTATTCCGCCTTATGAAAAATGATGTGTCCTCACGCTATCAATCACTAATTGCTTCATACGATTATGGCTTTAAAATGTGAACTTGTCTTTTAATTGTAAGTTTATCATTGCACACATTGTCATATGTAATGTGTAAGCCACTGTTAGGTAATCTGACTCGCGTCTATCATTTTGAGCACAAAATGCCACGTAATATCGCCGCAGCAGCGAGATAACCAAGGATTCGCTCTAATCTACGTGCAATTTATCCATATTTCTCGTGGTTTATGGATGCAATTCAATTTCCAATTTAGGTCATCAGTACGGGATAAAATCCATGCTAACTAAAGAAGCATTTTCAACTTGAACGAAAAGTGAATGGATGATTTAGCTACCTGTTCTCTGGAGGCAAAACATGCTTGATTAATTATTTTATGTTTGACTTAATTTGTTGAATGTTGGACAATGATTCAGTATTATTATGAATCGTTCGTGTGCCCGCAGACGGCCCCTCCTCGACCTCCTCCCCCCGCCACGGCGTCTGCACCAGCCCCTCCCACCGCCGGCAATCCCTACCAGGGCGCTCCTTATTCCCAGCCTGGTCAACTGCCATACCCTGTGCAGCCACAGGGCATGCCTGCTCCCCCTCCAGGGTATGCGTACCCTCTGTACCCAGTCTACATGCCCATGCCTCAGGGTTACAACCCGTACTTTGCACCTCCTCAGGGGTACCCACAAGCTCCTTACCCCACGCAAGGGGGCTATGCACCAGGTTACCCCCAACAACCTCCTCCTACTTGGCCTCCTAAGCCTTGAAATTTTCACAAACAATAGAAATTTAAATTTCCTACTTGTATGCAGTTGCATCGGGGACTATTGGTGCGACATGACGATATGGTACTGTGTGATCTTTATTCATTGTTTGAGTTTATTGTGAAGCCATTTATAGTTTGTGGCTAGTGCTAACCGTTCAGGTTTTTTTACAATTCATAGAGCTAGCTGTGTCTTTTAGTTAGCGGGGCGATGAGCAACACGTGCTGCAATATGCAGCGCTGATACTCTTCCTAGGGCGTACCTACTAGCAACGCATCTTGCGTCATATCCACTGAAAAACGTAATGAACAGGCGTTGTTCTTGTTTTGAATTCTGTGTCTCAGCACTCAGGTACACAGTTTCGCAACTTTCTCAACACTCACACAATTAATAGTGTCTCATCTCTCGAGTCTATAGTGTCTCGGCGCCCTAGTGCATAACCACTTGGGCATACAGTGTCGCTTAATTTTGCCTTTCAGTTTGTCAAATAACTCAAGCAAATAGTGTGTCACTACTCAGGCCAATAGTGTCTTTAAACTGGGCAAGCTGGGAAACTCACTTACCCGGGCCGCCTACAGATGCATCTATTTTGATTATCTGTGTTATTTCAAAGTTTTAGTTTTGTCCGTTTAAATTTTGTTGGAGTTCTCGTGAACTTTATTAAGCTAGTAGATTGACAGTGAAATAATCAGTGTGAATAGCTTCTTAATTTCCATGCATACCTATGCTTTATTTTTGTAAAGCACTGGAGTAATTTTTTTCATTTCTTTCTCTAAAATTTGGGTATTAGTAAGCCTGAACGTACTCTATTGTAGGATTTTTTTTACTGTCGTTGCGTCATAGATATAATCCGTCAATACCTTTGGAGCGTTGAGACGAAATTGGCATCATTATAATTTGCTAAGCAAGAGCATTTGGTACTCATGCTCGCTTATGCTCATTTTAGCATGAGTATAATTATCTCTGATGTTCACTCTATTATTTTATGACTCCAAGCATTCGCGCAAATTTTTGTACCCACATTTGATTAATAATTTATTCATTTTCTGATGAATTTCTTACTCACTGTGAAATTTATTGTACTCTTTTAATAATACTGTTATCTATTCACTACAGTTCACTTTTTATTCCCTGCAGTTACTGTGTCATGGATAGATTAACAGTCAAATCTTAAGTCTTCACATCTCTAACGCTGCTAACCGACAGATTTTAGTTATAGCTGGTTTTTTCAAGCATAAGTTAATTGTCCTTCGGCAGATTAGGTCATAGCTTCAAGTTAAGGTTCTGCATATATATTTTGACCATACCATCTAATCTTAAGGAACATGTCTTGTTGATGTTTCGAAAATTTTATACCATTTACTATGAATTAGGAAAGCGTGCAGCCATTGACGCAAGAAATAAGGCCATATCTCACAATACTGCTGCGTTTTTTGCTTTAGAGTTTATTTAAATGTGACTGGTCAAGGATGTCGATTACGGTGCATAATGGATCAAAGCCATATATACCTGAAGATTTCAATTTAATGTTATATCGTACATACTACTGATTTGTTCCTTATATTCTGAGAATCCACATTATGGTATTCTGATCTAATGGACTTGATTTGGTTATTTACATTAATTGCTTACTCATGTTAATGTTCTCATTCAGTAAACGCCAAAATATTTCACCATTGACTTTTCTCGTGCCGGTAATGGCTTCATATACATATGTAATGTAGGATGTGATTGCCATCTTTAAGTGATTACTGTTTAGTTACCTATCTGCTTTCTATGAAACAATTGATGCGATGCTCATAGAATTTACTTACATGCTGTAAATTTAGGGTGACAGTTGGATGGCGAATTAAAACGCTATCGTATGCTTCAGGATTTGCATTTCTAGCTTCGTTGTATCTTTTTGTTGTTTTTGTTGCCTCAGCCTGATAGTATATTTTATTTCTGAAGCCTAATATCCAAGGAGTTTTGTTAGTATAAGCTTGTACGAAATACTCTGTCACAACATTTGTGTTAACCGCTAATTAATATCGTGCTTGTTTCTCATCTTGCTCTGCGAGAGGAACTTGGATTTTTTGTGTGTATTTTGAGTTATGTTGCCGTGATTATTGAAATAATAATTAAATAATTTGGAAGTATTCCAGGCTTTCAGTAACTCCGTTTATGTTCTCCTAGAAGTGTCCTTTACCGTAATACTATCCTCAACTTTCTCTGTGGAAACTATTTCTTTAAAATGTACGGGATGTATTCGTTTTTTTCGTATCCATGAGTAGGTATCTATTTTAAGAATCAACAGTGTATTGGTTTGTGTGAAAGAATGTTTTTTACGTTCATTGCTTTCTATTCTACTGAAATGTATGACTATGATTCACCGCTAAAGACTTTTCGTGAAATTCTGTTTTTATTCTTCATGGATTATTGCCGAGTTCAGAGATGAGATGCGTTTTTCCACGTAGATGATATCTTAGTTACATTTAGGACTTTTGGCAGAATCAGCATACACTAACGATAAAATAAGGTCAACATTGAACACATTAGAAGTTCTTATTTCTTCATTTGAATGTCGAGACATTTTGAAAACATTATCTTCAGTTGTGCGATGTCAGTATGGAATCAATCGAGAACAGGTAAAATAAATAGAACTGCTGATCATTTAGCACATGTAAAGTAGCTTACGGGGAATTATATTGTAGCACAACTATAAGAGCTTCGTCTTGTATGTATGAAATGAAACAGTATATCGAATTTGCAAGTTCTTGTGTTTTATTCTGTGTGTGGTAAAACCAGATATACTCGGATTGCGCAGCACGAGAACTTTGAATGAAATCAAAAAGTATGGTATATATGATGCATAGTATACTCAGCCTTAACCCATAGGCACTAGCAAATATATGATGGCGTACATGGATTGTCTTTAATAAGGCCTGCCTCAAAGGTAGTCTTCAAAATAAATGTTACCGATTTCAAGATTAACTATTGTAGTTCATCACAATTGATGATGCTATTGTCGGTCCTTTGGCCATTCATCGTTAATGAGCAAAAATAAGGCTTGAATCCTATGCAAAATCATGTGCCATAATGCTAAATAAGACTCACACTCTTCCTCATACCTATTTCGGTTCATCACATGACTTATTAATGAAATGTCTGAAGATTACGTTGAATATCATCGATTCTTGTAGTTTCTAAAATTGTTGTATTGAACATTAAAATATGAACATTAGTTTTTTCCTTTGCGTAGCCTGTTGATGCCATTTGTTGACTCTTGTTGCCATGGCAACGAACTCGCATGCTTTATGTGACAGTTTGAACTTTGGTCTGGGCCCTGCAGAAGTGTGAAACATTACCTAGTAAATTTTCTGTAGTTACTTGGAACTCCGGATTTACTTTTTCTACTCTGCTATTTAGAGCTCTTCATTGTAAATTAATTCATCATAAATGAAGACGAAAGACGTTCCACGCTCTTCATGAAGGAAACACGCCCTGTCAATTTATTAATTATGCAAAATAGCTATGGAGTCGGTCCCGAAAAATGCGCCCACTGAATTGTCAACTTTTCAAGAACGAGTGAAGTGAGATTTAGATTCTGCTGATAATATTTGCTAAGAAGTGAGATTCTAATGCTATAAATAGAATAGAATAGAATAAACTTGAGCCTGGATTATATTCTCGCCCTGGAGTCCATTTTATTCAAATTCCGAAGTTCATTATCAACTATCAAGTCTAATCAGCCAAGAATTGCAGCCAAGTCTCAAGTTCTCAACTCACAACTAATGAACTATACCTGAAAGTCGAAAGTGGAAGTCTGAAACTGAAAGGTGATTTGAAAAAGGAGCTATTTTTGTAGCTTGTACACAACTACCGTAGAAGAGAGGTCATGGCATTTTGCTGAGTGATGGACTGATGGAATATTTACCATTTTTTTTAATTTGGCATCATATGTCATAGTATGTGTTGTGTTTCAAGTTTCAGTTTCTTAATAGTTTCGATTTTTGAATTAAAGTAAAATATTTACCATAGGTACCTAAGTTGTGTGAAACTTTTTTAAATTCTAATGCTGAAGAAATAATACGGGCTCAATTACCACGCAATAGTGAATAGTCTTCGACGAGGACAACCTTTTGATCACGGCAACCAATAAGGCGCTCGGCTGTTAATTACCAGGTAGTCAATACTCAATAGCATAGTTTAATAAGTTTATTATATGCAAATATCATGAAATATGGCCTGTTATAGAAATTTTGGCTATATTTTTTAGAAAGTATTTTTTGTTATAAATCAGTAAATCATTGAAATCCAGTAACCACTCAGACTCAGTTACCTACTCACCTCACCAGACCTGCTGAGTGCTGACCAGCTATTAGTACTATTAACATAGTGGCAAACCAGAGCTTTTTTAGAATCAGTTCATTTTTAATTTCTGTGTTTATGCACGATTTAACACGTTGGCCGCGATGTGCGCCATATATGTACACGCTGTACTTCTCAGAATTGCGATGTGTACACATGTGGTAGGCCTACATTCAAATGAAAAATACATATTTTTATAAAATCTTATTATACTCTTTCAATTTAAAATTTCAATGATGCAATTAAATAGGCATGTTAGGGAATGCTTTGAAGTCAACTACTGCTTAGAGAAATAGTTTTATTTTTGAATGCAAGTAATACAAAAATTACGAAATATGTGTCCATTGATGAAAGCAATATATATATCTATCTTTGCATGAAAACAAAATAAAATATTTTTTATTGATCTGAAACTATAACATTGTGATTGTGTGTTGCCAACATCACCCAATGTTGGCAATACGTGATTGAAAAACAATTATTGCACATGTATGGTTTTCCTTCACAGTCATCAAAATATTTTTGTACCCTTCGTGTTTCACCTTTGCTACGGCACTTCCCTCATTTGCTGAGAGTTTGTTGTAGCATTCATGGCAGCGCATCCTGGCTTTAGTTCTAGTTGGTTCAATGAAAGTGGGCTGTCCTCTGTCCCACTTGAGAATTTGAGATCTATATCCTGATTTTACTCTTTCTCTGAAATGCTGCTTGTAATAGAAGCTCAAGACAATATATACAATGAATGATCTCTATAAGGTAAATATAACTGAACTAACAATGTAAATACCCTCAATTTTATTCAGGATAATGAAAACCTGGACACCAATCTCTTTCCATAGTAATTTCCATGCGTAATATACATCATTCACAAAAAAGCTAAGAGATACCGGTAGTCATAATGTGTGCAATTATGACTCAAAACTAATGTAGATTTCTTGCGCGCATCACTCACAGTGATAAGAGTGAAAACTTTAGGCGTTTTTCTGCAATATGAGCCATAGATGCATGTCTTTGCTTGGTACACATCGCCCACAGTATTAGAAGTGATTACGATAGGCGGCGTGAGCCAATATGAGCCACAACAGGCATGGCTTCATTTGGTACACATCGCCAGGAATAATGACGAATTTCAACCCTGAGCACGGAAGTTGAAAATTTTATGAAATGACATGTTTGCGAAGTGCAAACCGCGATTTTTTAATCAAACAAAAATTTATGACATTCGAGCCGCGAGATTTCATACCTACTGAAATTATATGATATTAGAGCCGCGAGATTTCATACCTACTGAAATTATATGATATTAGAGCCGCGATATTTCAGACAAAAATAGGACTTTTCCAGACTAGTTGCGAGGGCTATCGAATGGCATCTTCTAAAAAATTCCATATGCTATTTGTAAGGTGCTAGATGCAATGTAAAAGGCTCCTGAATTTAGTGAATTAATCTTGAAATGGGGTAAAAAGGGACACTTGAAATAAAACTCAATTTCAAACATTTGAAGCATGCAGAGTGTACTCATCTATTACTAACAGTACTCTGAAGTCCTCCTCTTTCATTGTAGATGATGTAGATGTAAAATAAATGACATTTTCTGTGATTTTTACTTGTTTTTCCTTTATTGATTTGATATTACCATAATCATTAATTACCGTATTATTAATGTGATATTATTGTATCCATGGACATGCCATTGAGCATTGACAACGACCTTGTCCACTGCAAGCTTCATATCAGCAGCCATGTAGCATTTCTTCAGTATCTGTAAGCTTACAGGATGGTTCGTAATTTTGCACAATTTTAATCGAGTCTAGTGATTTCATTATAACAAAAAAGATCAGGAAAAACATACCTGAAACAGAAAATAATGTTTTAGTAACAACATCATATGTTTTGAAGAAATAAATCATAGTTCAGGTCAATTACTTTTCATTCTATGATGCCTGGTGCACAATTCTATATATAGAATTCTATGTCCAATTTTGTGACGGCCAATGATGCACTAATTTTTCAACGAGTAAATTTTTTTTGCCAAGCAAGGTAAATGTAATCAAAATTCTTTGTTGTTTATCAATTTTTTTGTTAACTGGAGTCTGGAGCCTTTGCTAACTGAGGTTCTACTGTAAATGCATTTTTAAGGCTAAGGGTGTCCCTAATTACCCTGGGGGGGTGTCCCGAGTAGCCCCGTCGCGCAGAAATGGCTGCCATTTTTTTTGGAATGAGATAGGCAAATTCTGTCAATCACATTTTCAAGCTGACACCTGGGTGCAACTTTTATGTAAGTAAAATTTTTCAATACGGCAAATATTTTTTTTTGCTCCAGACCTTAGCAGAGGTACTTTTCCAAAATTGCACTTTTCACACTTTTTTTCAGCGATTTTTTAGAGATAGTAAATGTTTGATTTCTTGACTAGCTTTATACATAATAGATAGTAAAAATGTTGAAGTTTACGCCACTATTTTTAGTTTTGCAATATTTTGATTAGTTTAGCTGGTACAACATTTCTACAAAATGTGGGACGTGCATCCCTATTTACCCCGCCCGTCCCTTTTTACTCCGTTTGACGGTATATTTTTTAGAAAGTATTTTTTGTTATAAATCAGTAAATTATTGAAATCCAGTAACCACTCAGTTACCTACTCACTAGACCAGCTATTACTATTAGGGTAGTATTAGTATTGTCAAATGTCAATGCAGATAAAATTGCCACAGCACTTTGCCACTTCCCGTACCACCATATTGAGTTACTGCCTAGGTAGCTAAGCTTCGTAGAAATGATGTACTACTTTATAAGCAAAACTGAACCACATTGGTGATTGGAGAGAAATAAATTTGACAAAGTAATCCATGAGAGAAAACTAAACTAGACAAGTGTCAGGAATGTCAGCAATAGTTTTGTTCTTATAATCTTATTAAACTTGTCAAAATATAATTTCTCTTGATTCATGTACTATTACTACAGAAGTTTACCTATTAGAAACAGTTTTACTATCCTATTCATTTGACCTTTTACCATTGCAATACAATAAGTTTATAAAATTCCGATTTGAACCATGTTGATGGAGAACTATCTACTTGACATCTGGAGAAACTGGGCTCACCTGTCGTGTTGTTTGCTGTCACCCATGGGCCATGAATGAGTGAAACCACCTGTGTCTGACAGACTGATAGTCAGTCACAATAGACTGATCACAGACTGATAGTCTGTACAATATTATGTGGAAATACCTACCATTCCCCTATCTATGTTCATTGTAAAGCTTAAAAAATGATCTAACATTTTTTTCATACCTACCGTCAACCGGGGCAACTCGGGACTGGCGGGGCAACTCGGGACGCACCTCCAACACGGCGTAAAACTGTTATAACTAATTGGAATATTGCAAAACTAAATATAGTGGCGTAAACGTCAACATTTTTCCTATCTATGTAGTATAAAGGCAGTCGAAAAATACGACATTTACTAGCTTTGAAAAATTCCTGAAGAAAATGGTGAAAAACGCTGTTTTGAAAAGTTACTTCTGCTAAGGTCTGTAGCAAAAAAAATATTCGCCATCAAACATAAATTATGTTATATATGGTAATTTTATATTAACTTCCAAGCCGGTCTAAGTTACCCTGTCAGGGCTGACATTAGGTGGTCTAAGTTCCCCCATTTGGGGGCAGCGCCCCCCATTTGCAAACTATGACACTTTCCTAAAATTTGTCATTTGCATATGTAACTAGAAAAGTTCTACTACAATGCATCAAAACCTGGAGTTTTTTTCTGAAAAACAAAAAAAATTGGAGGGGGTACTCTGACAGGCTTTAAATAATAGCTTTTTTTGTGGGTCACATTTTTAATTTTTTAACCTATTAGATATGCAAACTTTTCAAATCTTTCTATTGTGTTATGTAGCCTCAGTATTAGGCCTTTAATGCCCATTGGCAAAATTTTTCTATGTTAAATAGTTTTTGAGTTTTGGGGGTTTTTGTTAAAAAATGAAAAGTGGTCTAAGTTACCCTGGGAGTCTAAGTTACCCCATTTTATGGTACTTGACATCTGGAGAAACTGGGCTCACCTGTCACTGCTGTCAGGTTGTTTGCTGTCACCCATGGGCCCTGAATGAGTGAAACCACCTCCACCTGTGTCTGACAGACTGACAGTCTGTGGACAAAATCTCCCATGCCTACAGGTCTTGCTTAATTAAGTTGGTAATTGTAGGGACATGGTTCATTTTCCTATCAAAAATTCCTGGAAATCACATGTGTGAAGCATTTTGAAATCTTGGTTTATGGGAGGAAATCTGCCTGACATCCCCCTGTCTTAAGTTGATCCCAGAAACACAATGAAAATTCACCATCATTAAAAATAATTTCATTGACACAAGAGAAAGTTTCTTTGAGCTATTGTTTGTTCTGGGCAAAATTATCCAGATTCAAGGCATATTTTGGTTCACCTCACCAGCCTCATTGGGTGGCATTGTTCCAATTTTACTGGGTTCTTGATTCAAAGTATAGGTATATGCATAGATATTTATAATTATTAGGAGTCATATGGGACAATACCACCGTCATCTGGGAATTGTTTGAACTCCATGAAAATTTAAATGCACTCTCTGGTCATAAATTGTACATGTATAATCAAGATATTTATAAACATGACAATTTTTGATGTCCATTGATTGATTCCTTCATGCAATCACTTAAATGGTCAAAATACAGATGCAAAATCTACAATATTATCTGGAAATATGTACCATTCCCCTATCTATGGTACGGTATGTTCATTGTAAAGCTTAAAAAATGCTCAAACATTTTTTTCATACTATTTAATGGTTGACTTTTAGGTATATTATCTTGGGACTTGGAAAGACTTGTAATACATTTAGTATATTAGATTTGTATATAAATATAACCGAGATGTAAACCAATGAGCTAAGAATTAATCTTTTTAACAGATTACCAATGTATAAAAATGGATGACAAAGTTTTGAAAATTTTGTTGGTTTAATTTAGAACATTTTTGTAGAATAATCTTCCACATTTTCTTGATTATAACTCCTATAATAAGTTCATGAGAATCTCATTAATTTGTCTCTCAATAATTTAATTGTTTTACATTTTTAGACATGATTTGTGTGTACCATATATATATTAGTCTACTATAAACAATACTTAAAACAAACTATAAATGGAATTGAGCCAATCTTTTTTGAAATGCAGACATATTGTGGGAAGCAAATGCAATGTAATTAATTATACCTCTGATAGGTATAAATATACATATACCAATATATGTGTTCCATGGCTGGTATTTTATCTGCACACTATCTTTATATTCCAGACATTGAAGATGACTTCTGATGGCATGCCCTGGTCTTACAATTCTGGCAGGTATTTGAACCTTGACAAGTAAAAATTTTGCATGATTTTTTTTGCATTGACTCTTCATCTCATTTCTTATTTGTTGATAATACATACATATAACAATAGAAGACATGTCTAATGCATATGAGAAAATATTCACACATTGGCAATTTTTTTTCAGTGGGATGTCAGCATGGAGTAACAATGACTTGAACAGTAGTGGCCGGAGCTCGGGCTCTGCTGTGAGCAGCAGCAAAGCTGACAGCAAAACACTACCTGGGCTTGTGGATGATGATGTTGCACGGCAGCAGAAACTTGAAAAGCAGGTATGGGGAGGGTGCAAATTCAATGTGATGCACGACCATTGAGAGAATATATTGTGCAGCTTGTATATATGAACCAAGGAAACTTGAGATCAGTAATTCGCAACCTTTCCTTGTTTGTGATGAAATTGAAAAAGTTGGAAAGCACAATGAATTCCTATTTGTTCAGGTGTAACATTTCAACCTCTCTTCCACTAATGGAAAGTATTTTTCAATAAAGTTTTTCCTTCAGTATTACCCTTGACCTAGAACACAAAAAACTTTTTTATAATTTTAACATTTTCTCTCCCTATTGAAAATGATACTCGACTTATGTTTAAATGTCATGCTATTTTGTTGACCTTGTGAAAGCATCTCTTCTTCTCAATCACTTGCATGTCATTTGTACTGCTGAAACAATTTTCTTGCTTGATGTGTTTGCAAATTTCTATTAACTTATTCACACGACTTTGCCACGCCACGTGTTGTAGCGCAAGCTCCACGAGGCGAGGTCAGCGCGCAAGCGTCTCAGCACAGGCCTCATGCAGCCCTCTGAACGCGCGACCTCAGCTCGCTCCCGCCCTTCCTCCTCCGTCCTGCACGGTGAGTAAACTTAAGATATTCATGTTTTGTTTTGTTTTCTATTAGAAACTTGTTATTCTAAGCTCTTCTGTTGTCAAGAAAGTAATGTTAAATTAATTTTTGTTCGTCTAACGGAGTTTCGTTTGTTGCGTCTGACCCACATGTGTAGATAATTTTCGGCTTTAAACACACTTCTGCATCGGTGATAAACTGTTCAATAAAAGTTTAAATTTTAAATTACTAACATTTTCTCATTAAATCCTCTACGTAAATTTTCACTGCACTTCTGCTGATATATGTAATGCTCTGCTTGCATCCATTTGATGTGACTTGTTTAGCTGTCAGCTGAATCTGAAGTATTTAAAAAAAATTTTCGTGTTGGATGTTAGGTTTTTTTTTATTCTTCACCTGACTCTGAATACTTTTTCATTAATAATTTCCGTACATTCTTGTTCGGTATATTTACACGACTCCTTAGTGTGAGAGGCAAGTATAGGTAGTTGATCTGTGGTGAAAAAAAAATGATCCTCTCTTTCAAATCCGACAGTTCTAACCTCATCAGCGCATTCTGCATCCAAACAGCAAAGCTTAGAGTGTGGAGTCCAGAAACGTCTGTGTTTGATAAAACAACGTCTGAATAGTCAGTGAAGTAATCTCGGTCGGTTTTATTTCACTAGACTATCGCAACAAACTTGTATTTATTGAGCTAACTCGAAGGTTTGCATCGAAGAAAAGGTTTGGGCTGCTATTTTCAATTGTTTGTGGCAATGTGGTGTCAATTGACATCATTTTAAGGGGTCACTTTTTTGTTCGTAAAAATTTCTTATGCTGTGGAATAATAATTCTTGTTGCATGCTACTCTCCATTCTATCGTTATTGACTTGCTGGGATAATTCCCTGCTAAATTTTGCTAAAGCGCTCCTCAGCTTGTGAATCTCTCTATCTCCTTTTTAATATCATTTATATAAATATTAATGGTTGTTTTAAGCACTAGCATGAGCGTATTTTGATATTTCAATTATGAACACTATTTTCTTCTTAATTTCATTCGTTAGAATTGATACTGTGAACGGTATTAGCACGTTAATGACCTCACAAGAACATGAGACCGCGCGTGCATTTATCCTCTTTGCTGTACGGTTATATCAGGCGCTGCTCTGCCACGGCACGCTCGATCGATGAACTCGTTGCTGTTCTTTGTTCAGTCTTGATGGTGGAAAATAGCTCGTGTTAACTTTACGTCTCTTCTGATCTGGTTACACCAAAGTATCGATCGCGCATGAATACGAGTTATGTTGTTCATCTTTCAAGGCTGCGATAATTAGTTGTCTATACCCAATAAAAAATTCATTTCTCCATGCGACACGTATGGCGAAGCTTCACTTGTTTTATTCTTCAATGAATGTGTGTTATACACTTATACCTTTACTTTAATTATTTAACGCTATCTCTAATAACGAGTTTTCTGCTTTAACAGGGTTTCTATTATGTTACATAAAATTTTCTTTACCTTCGTAGATTCTAAGGCAAGTCCGTGATTCTATTTCTGCTTTTCTTTAGGATTTGGTGGGCTGCTTGCGGTTCTCTCATTCTCTGCTGCCTCCTGCACCTGTTCTGCACAGACCTCTGCACCTGTTCTGCACAGGCCTCTGCACGTGTTCTGCACAGCGGTGCCTCGCACATTGCCTTGTGTCTACCGCACTCTCCACAAATATCTTCACTATAAACGTATCCTAAGCAACTGACCATACGTTATCACATTTCACGCCGCTTGAATTTACTATTGTATTCTCATCATGTCAATATTTTGTGATACTCCTCGTTGAATAAAGTTATTCTTTTTTGTGTATTCAATTAAATAACGGGAAATTTTGTCTGTTAACACACTGATGACAGTTATATCTCGTCTTGTTTTTAATTTATTGTCCGACGTATGCCATAAACGTTTTATTTCGTATTAACATGTAAGTATATTTTATTATTCTTATTCTTTACTTTGAAATGATCTCTGTTAAAAAATCTTCAGTCGATTATCGACATGTGTAGTCCATGTGTTTCATGTACCTGAACGTATTTTTCTAAACCGATGATATAATGTAGGATCGAGTTGCTAGGTAGAGCGTATCGTGGATAGCTCGTCACGTTTGTTGAAGAATTGTTAGGTCCAAGTTTTTTTAGAACTTTTATACTGGTGATAACATGCTAGTCAGAGCTATATTACTATAACCGAGATTTTATTTTCCTATTCCTATTTAAAGTAGGTTTCTTGTTGTCTTACCCTCATAATGTACATTGTACATAAAAAATGTATGAAACAACCTAAATATTTCTTCGCTATCCTAATAAACGAATTAACATAATATTTAAGTTTGTTTTGTTCATGAATTTCCATAATTTTTCAATATCAGAGGTGCTAAATATTCACTTAAGTTACGACCTGTCTTGATTGTTGACCTGTCATGTTGAACCCATTATTGTAGCCCATCAACAGCAACTTTGAGAATGTAATATGATAATAGCGTCTTTACTTCTAGCCGTGTCGGTGACACAATGAATATTAATCGCCAAGTATTTTCTTGCACTCGAAGCTCACTCTTTCAAACAATTGTGCGGGTGTCATAGCTAACAAATTTTTGCTTTGCTCTGATATTATTAAATTAATTTTTCAGACAATCTCTTAACCCTCAACCCCCGTATGTCACTCTCCGGGAACACAACTTTCAACTTAAAGTATACGTAAACTATCGACTGCAGCAACTTGAGGACGTTTGTACGCAAGAGAGAACATTTTAAAGTTGTCGTACGTGGCGGCAACCATCAGTGCAGGTCATTTTACGCTCACGAGAACGTATCCTTTTTGGGAAGTAGGCGCGTGATATTGTTGCCCCGGTTACTCAGGTCAAGCGGTAGAGGGTTAAGATGAAAATTTGATGATCCTTACTTTGACATATTCATGTTGTAGGTCTAACTTTACTAACAGTATTGTCAGTGCAAGTATTAACGGCATTAAACGGTTATTTGGCCTTGTCCCCAGCTTTTCTCTGCAGTCTAGCAGAGCGTGTCAAACTTGTGAGTTAATGAGTTGGTTCAAGAACTCCCCCAAAATCACTAAGTTTACTTACTCCTTTGCAACTTAGAAGCTTGAAAACTTAGTTGTTCTACAACTTTGCGCTGTGTACCAAGCTCAGTACGTATAATGCTACTAAACTATAATTCATTATTGAGTTTAAAGGCATCTTTGATTGGTACACATTTTTTTAACGAGTGGCCTTCAACGATTTGCCTCTTTAGGGATTGCCGTTGAATTTGTGTGATGAATTGAATTAGTTTCTAAATTGTATCTACAGATTGAATGTTTTTTTATTTAAAGAGACCCCCGTCTCGAACATTATCTTGCGTATATTTTGGAATGAGCGTTTGATAGTTCCAAAGTTATTGCGTTTTGGTGTCGATAGTGTTAGTACGCGCCAATATAACGGTAAATAAGTGACGTAATTTTGATGTGTTCTCACATCTCGGGCAGATTCCATGTCGAAACCTCACATAAAAATAATTGACTATTAAGTTCACGCATCTCTGGGGAATTTCCGCTGAAAATTCCACACATATATACACACACACATAAATTGTTCATATATAGTATAGTTTAGTATCTACGGCATTGAAGAATAGGCCTGTCGCCGATTCTTGTACTTTTCTTGACTAGTTCACAGATCTGAAAGAATTTTTAATCGTTTCTAGACTTTCAGTTCCGTAGGGTACTAGGCATTTCAAAACTAAACAAATGCTCCTGCATGACCTTGTCTAGTCTGTTCTTAACACATTCATACAATCTTGCGACGCCAAGATGTTCAGTTTACATGAAAAACCCGAGTACTTACGATCGCTTGCCGTTCAGTTACCACCAACCAGTAATAATTTCAACTGTAAAAAGGCTATTATCAAGGCCGTAACTCGCAGCTTGCGCGGATGCTGTGCTGGCCGCTCATCTTGCCCCGTCATATCCTAGCTACGGCTCCGGAACTGCCTCATGATTAACCGCCTCAAGACCGCACATTATCACGTCTTTACCACCAACGCTGCTTGGTTCAATCTGAGCGCAATTTTGGGTAAAACTTGATAAAAAAAAGGGTGCTGAACTGTGTAGTATTTACTGTTTCAGATGTTCTTGTTTTAAAAAGGCTGAACAATATTGAACATGAAATAGAACGGGTTTTGGGGCAGCATGATGTCCCGTTAATAGCTGGATTCAAAATTCCTCCATGATTCACAGATGTTGGCATTGGAGGAATGTGGTCACAGAAGTGGCATTGCTGCTTCTGTAACTAGGAAATCTACCATCATCGGTAGGTAATCTATAAGCAAATTGCCGTAGTGTATTTATCGCTAGAGCGCAACCGTGCTCGTATAATTTTTAAACTCATTTCGGGTGCGAAGGGAACGGCGTCGTACCGAGTGCCTTGGTCTACTTCTGGGAATGGAATCACGGACTGGGCTCGTAAAGATTAATTTTAGAGCTTTGTTTTCGCGCTGCTTGCGATAAAGTTTTTTTAGGGAACGAGACGATCGTTTAACAAATGTGTATGCATCGGTGTGTTTTGTGGAGGAGTTTTATCTTACGAGGTACCTTGTAGAAAAAAAGTCATTCTAACTTCTGGATGAGGTTTGGTTCTCGGCATCTACAATGACGGCTGGAACGATATAGTATTCAACACAATCCTTGTTCTATTTACAATTTTGGATATCTTAAATTAATAATCATATCCAAATTATCCCTAATTCATTATTGAAGCGCCGCGTTTTGAAAAACAATTAATCATTTTCCACTTTTATAATATATATATTTAGTCAAGATTCACCTTTTAATACTTCCCTCTCTCTTACAAAAGTGTTTCGGGAAAGATTACGCTATGCCTCAATAGCCGAGTCGCGTCAAAAGGTAAATAATGAATTAAGAGAAATTATCAGAACTATTCGAGACGAGTCTAAATCGTTGAAATCAGCAGCGTTTAGAAGGATAT